ATCTCTGGCCACCAACATGTGAGCCTCGCCAATGACTTCATTTTTTCAACACCTAAATGTCCACTATGAAGATCTTCTAGGACAGATTTACGCAATGAAGGAGGAATAACAACACGATCATTTAAACACAAAATACCATCAGGAGTAGTAGATAGCTCATCCCGCTTTGAAAAATAGATAGGAAATCTACGTTTCAAATTAGCATTCCAACCTTTCCGTATAGCATTAATTATACATCCAAAGTATTTACGAGTTTCTATAATGAGATCTGGACGTTTCACTGGTAAAGGTTGCACTAACAAACAGTCTGAAGTATTTACAGGTTTATCTTGTAATGACTGTCGAGAAATGTAGTCAACATGTTGAATTTGTTTGGCACTCCTATGCTGAACCGTATAGTCATAGGCACTCAAAGCAATACTCCATCGTTGAACCATAGCAGCTGAGGAACGTGCTAAGGATTTTTCAGGATGATAAATAAACTTTAAAGCCTCATGATCAGTAACAATAGTGAATTTCTTTCCGAATAAATATTTATGGAGTCTTTTAACAGCCCAATACACAGCTAATGCTTCTCGCTGAGTCTGTGAATAACCTTGTTCAGTAACAGTAAGTTTGCGTGAAACACAAATAACTGGTCTACCCTCCTGTTCCAAAACTGCGCCAATACCCACAGGTGATGCATCAGTGATAAGCACAGACTGTACACTAGGGGAGTAAGTTCGAAGAACAGCATCACTTTGAAGAAACTTTAGTAGACTACGTAAGCATGACTCTTGTTCCTCACCCCATTTAAATGAATTGGATGTCAAAATATTAAATAAACAATTTGCACGACAAGAAAAATTAGGAATAAAACGGGAATAGTATTGAAGAGCACCCACTAGTGAACGTAGTTCCGTAAGGTTTTTTGGAGACGGTGCATTTGTCAGTGGAGCTAGTCGTTTCATATCTGGTCTAAAACCATTACCATCAACTAGGTATCCAAGACATTCGAAATTAGATACACTAAATGAACACTTATTTGGATTCACTGTAATATTCTTCTCAATTAAACGACGCAATAAGGCAATAAGTCTCTGGTCATGAACTACCTTATCAGAACCATGGACAATGAGATCATCTTGATAAACTTCAACGCCCTCAAGATCACTAACTACATTATTCATGACTTCCTGAAATATAGCTGGAGAACAACTTAGACCAAATGGAAGGAAATTGTATTTGAACAGACCAAAAGGAGTATTAATTGTCGTCAAAAGAGATGAAGATTGATCTAAAGGGATTTGGAGATAAGCATCTTTTAGATCAACTTTCGAGAACACTTTAGAACCATGAAGTCGATTTAGAATATCTTCAGCCTCTACCGTCGTGCACGTTTGCTTCAACAAACGGGAATTCAGTGTTAATCTATAATCACCACATATTCTAGGGGTTTTGCCATCCGACTTCAGTGGCGTAACAATAGGAGTACCCCATGCTGAGGACTGGATCGGTTCAATTATGCCTTTCGCACACAAATCGTTTAATGTTTTATGTACTGCCTCTCGAAGACCATAAGGAATTATTCGTCTTTTAAGAAATACTGGTTCACCCTGTACTTGAAGTTTTATAGGCTGAATCTTCATACCTCCACTGCACCTAGCACACATGGCTATCAAATCTTTAAGTAAAGCATCATTGTTTTCTTTAGAAACTAGGAAAGACAGCTCCACTTTAAGCCTTTTCAAATTCCTTAAGCCCAATATTGACAGTCCTGTTTCGCTAACTAAAAATTCACAAGGTATGTACGAAGAATTATCATCTCTTATTAGCAACTCACAACATCCTCGTATAGGCAGTCTGTGTCCAGTAATCCCCAATATTGATACCTCAGTGGGTCGTACCACAACATTAGGATCTAAAGATTTCAAGTTCTTGAATGAAATAATGGACTCTATGCTGTCTGTGTCAACAATAAAGTCATGACATGAACCAAGCGATGTATATAATCGCTTTTGAATATGAGCATTACCTTTCGAAACAGTAGACAAAGATAAATGATCATTAGGAACAGCTGAATCACTGGGATCTAAATTACAAGATTTAGTACTACTTGAGGCAAAATGAATAGTAGCTTTGCATACTGATTGAATGTGTCCTATCTTACCACATCTAAAACATTTAGCATTACGAAATGCACATGAATTACGAGAATGAATTTTTCCACATGATAAACATTTGCCAAACTTGGTCTCACCTTTGTGATTTCTTTTGTAATCCCTTGTTGAGATATCTTTCATATTTACACGAGAATAGGAACCACTGTTAAACGAACGCAATTTTGATTGACCCTGAGATTGTATTTCATCATGACGACTAAGCAAAGTATTAGAAATATTCATCAACTGGATATCAAGTTCATTCACTGCCTCGTAGTTAATACACGCAGTTCTAGCATCTTGAAAGGAACAGTTGGGCATTCTTAACAGCTCTCTTTCCAAACCCGGCAAGTTAATTCCTGCAATTAATCGATCGCTCAGTTGCACATGAAGTTGATCACCAAAATTACATTTGGCAGCTTGTTTCTGCAATTCAAGAATGAATTCCTTAACCTTTTGGTCATTTCGACGAGTCATCTTATGAAATTTTGCTCTTTCACGGCATTCAAAACTAGTGCACTTTACATGATTTAATAATAACTCCTTAATAGTTGCATAAGGAAGTGAGATAGGTTTTTCTGGATATGCCAAGGCTTTCAATAAGCTGTATGCTTCTTTTCCGATGAATGTCAGGAAATAAGCCACAATTTTATCACCTTTAACATCCTTCTTGGTCATGCTCCAAATTTCAAACCTTTCCAAATAGTCCTCAAAAGCTTCAGAAGTTGAATGAATATCTAACTGTTCCATCGCAGGCTCCATCGCGACGCCAATATGATAATTAGAAGTATTTGAATTATAGTATGAACTAATAATCCCAGGGATAACGCAATTGAATCAAGAAGTACTACACAAGCACTAACGAATGTACTTTATTTAAAATTCAAAATCAAACATTCAACAAGTACAAAGGAGTCATTAGTTCAATCAAACACCACAAATATATAATGCCTGACATTCTAGTAAAAGAAAGTTCCGTTTGCATCGTAAAAGGTAATCAAAAGGACTTACAAAAGAATATATTTATGAACAAAAATTAAACAACCGTTATGCAATGAATGTTGGTTTAAAGCTCGTTTAGGCATAATCCTCAATTGATAAATGTTCTTATTCGTGCGTCAGGGTAAAGGTTATCCCATTAGTGTTATTGAAAACTAATCCAGGCCCTAAAAGGCCCTAAAAGATTAACATAACACCATCATAATCGTCAATCTCAGGTCTCGGTCTATAAGAGGCGACGGATATAGAACTAATCTGAAAACCAGCGAGGGCATGTATATTGGTTAGCTTATTAAATAATGACCGTTCTGAATTGGTACACATAAGCAATGTATATTGTATATAAATATGGTTTCGCATTAAGCGTTGCATACAAAATTGTAGTCTTTGTTATATCGTTATAAAATTTGCTGTCTGTATATCATTATGAGTTAACGGAATTCATAAAATTCCGTTCTCAGAATATTTGTTTAAAATAGGCAAAACTTAATCATCACCATAATAACGTTTTGACGAGAATCTGAAACTCATGAGCAAAGGTTAGTGAGTGTAGTTGTACTAGAATAACGGTCATTTTGTTTGTTTTTTTCTATTTGTCTTGTCATATTTTCTAAAACGTTGTTCCATGCAAATGAACTTCAAGATGGGTATACACATTTTCAATGTGTATATACACCAGAACTTTTTCGATATTCGTTATAAAGTTTTCTTTTTATATATGTATATATATATATATATATTGCAGTCCCTACATATGTAATTTTCAAAATTTATTGGAATCGGTCAGTTATATCAGCATATGTTCTGACAAACCTGTTTCTAGAAACGCTTCTTCTATTGGTTTATATTCAGTGTAAGATGTTTTACAGTTAAATATCACTAACTATTATGTGGATTTTTATAATTTATCTGATGTCGTTCACTGCCTTGGGTTATGAGTCTAATAAAAGGTGGCACTGATCACAACACAAGTTTTAACTGGATTGTAAATGAATACACTTGCTGAACTGTCCTAGCTTTGCTAAGTAAATTTCCATGGAATAAGATTTGTAAGCAATATTCCACTGTTTATCAATATGTTTTGATGTTACCACCGTCGAAGGGCATTGTAGAGTAGGGACACAAAAGACGGTAAATCCAGTTTTAAATAGATTGATTGGGTTGCATTCTGAATATTGTTGTTAGTGTTACCAACTACGTATATTTATTGTTTTCTCTGTAACTAAAAATATCTTTTGTCTGGTTTTGTTGAATTTTTTGTATCGAAGGATCTTTCTGCCTTCATCAAGTCTTCCTGTCAAACATATATGGTAAAAAAAACCTATTATGTTGTATTGCTTCTGAGGCTATTTATGTCGAGCAAATATTGTTTTCTGAATTTCAATTAGTAATGGCTACTTTATATGTTCTCATATTCAGATACTTCCATTTTTTTGAATGGGTAAAAATCACTCACAACATATAGGTTACCAAAATGAAGTTTTTCCTGTTTAATCAAACCTTAGAAATGCATCTACTCTACTTACCACTTCGTGTCAATTTATCTGTCTAAGGAATAACCAAGGCTCCATATATGCAAAAAAACTCAGGCTAAAATATTGCATCTCGGCTTTTGCAATCAGACTGTTCTTCAGACCTTAATACCCGACTGTTACAATGGAATAAACCGTTTACGACTTATTGATTCAATTATAGTTTGTCTGCAGCTGTCCCTTTATATTAATCCCTTACTTTAAATAAAGTGAAAGTTTAAAAGTAAGAGAAACACCAAAAATTTGTGCATATTTGCCACCTCATAAAGCTGGTTAATCTTGAAAGTTCATTGTGTTTAGTTTTTGCTTCATACTAAACTTCGAGTTTTATTATATCAAGGCTTCATACTTGTATTTCGAGTTGGATAACTCAAATAAGATATTTTGTAAAATTTCCTCCTGTTAGTAACTAACGCTAAACTTGGAACTGATCTGAAAAAATAGCAAGCATATTTTAGATACTAGACTTTATTCTGACACTTTTTACTTTGAGAGTCTCATGTCAAGACGTATAAATAACCTTTATACTCAGCAATGGGAGAGCTGTACTTCCAGAGAAAAAGTTAAATTGCCTTAAATAATTCTGGTAATCAGTGGTCGCTCTTTCACAAAGATTTGCAATCCTGTTCGATATCACGTTCATTTGATCTTCGATCATTAAATTATTAATTAATACATTGGAATGACTTCGGCATTGAAAATATATGCAAACAAAACTCACGAAAGTTATCCAGTGCTTTTCAACCTAGGAACTATATAATTTGCCGGCCTGATTCATATCTACTATTGTTTGCATGTATCAATACTTAAAATAAAACGCCGAATGGTTCACTAATAATCTACGTCTATGGATTCTTGAATAAAAAACTATTCAATTGATTTGATGTTAGGCTTCAAGCAACAAGGACATTTTACCTTGTGTAGCTCACAGCTTGAATGCTTTATTCGTTTTTCTCTTGTGTGCTCTAGTCCATTCAGAAGTAAGTCACCTGACAAGCTCTTCCAAGATCTTTGTTGTGATTTTAAATATGGTAAGGCAGTCGACCTTTGGAAGACTGACTGACTATTCATATTGTCAGTCAACACGCCCACCTATCATACGGCACTTAATTTAGAAGCAAGTTTTCAAACAAGTCCTATATTTTGCAATACTTTTAACTGTTTATTTCTGTCTAAAGATGTATCGAAAACTGTTCTTAAATACTAGTTTCCTTTGATTCTTTGTAGCTAATCGCTCTAAAGGTGTCAAAATCAAAAGCGATGTTTCCAGTGATAAATTACAATTAGATCTTGATTCTCTGACAAATGAGCAGGCTAATGTATCAAACAGACCCCGCATAATATATGACAGCTCAATTGAAAAACTTAGAATTACTGAAGAACGCATACAAGAAGTAAGCCGTTTAAAGAGAGAACCGGCAAAGGATAAATACATTCAAATTATATCCGTTTTGTTAACTAAACTTTTGTATCACGATAGAATGAGACTTATGAACAGTTATTTCTACAATGAATCCTTATTTTATCATGACGTTGCAATTCATAATCCCCGAAGGAATTGACACCAAATGTCGTGGGCAAAATCGAATCGTTTTATGCAATGGGTATCTTTCATATATTAGTGTTTAAATATCACCGCTGAGGACACTCCTCGTTGTGCTGTAAAGATGCGCATACGAAATACAGGTCAACTGGTTTAAATGAATGTGCACATTTACTACCTCTGTGAATGTAATTATATCTGATGGATAAATTAGTGTTACACTTAGCATGATTCTGAAAACACTTTGAGAAGTATGAAATGAAGTTATTTAGTGACCTGATTTAATTACAATTGTTTGATCATGATGACATAGTGGATGAGGATAAATCAATTGATAACATCGATTATTACTATGTTGTTCAAACATATTTATTATACGTAGTTGAAGTTAAAAATATCTAAGCAGAAAATTTGGTAAAATTGGTGTAACTTTTGCCTTTATTCTAGGAAATCAGTACTAAATAGAAAATTTTTTCCACAACAAAGCAAAAGTTTCCGTTTAGACACTCAGGGAATGAAGAGTAAAACGAATAAAACCTTTTTTGACTAGGCCTTTAGCTATGGATTCACAAAAATACCACAAGATGGCTGCAATTAGAAACTAGAATCAACAAATGCACACTCAATAGTCTAGTAATTGATTTCCTCTCATAAGATTTAAAAGTCCTGGGTGTTATCCTTTTTAAGTAAGTCCTGTACCAAAACAAATAACAATCCAGAGCTCCCTAGTTTACAGTGGTTACATAGTTAACATTTGTTGATTATATAAACTCAAAATCAAATTATCTCTACTGGCCAATTATACCAATGTTATATGTTTCACAACAACATTAAAATCAGTATTAGTCACATGGAGAGACATTGGGTAATGATAAATTAATTCCGGAAGTTTGATTAGAATAGTGATAACTAATTCAGAAAGTAACCAAAAAATCAAGGTGAATTAGGTTGTTTTAATAATGTTTAAATATGGTGATTAATAAATGAATTGAAATATATAGATTTAGGGTTGACAGATTACATATGTATAGATAAATGCTATCTACCACAACAATTCTGTTAGACGATTACTTCATCAGTGATTAAGCCGCTCGTCAGCATGGGTTAAAATGAACCACTGAAAGGTAAACACATCGAATATTTTCGCAAAGATTATACATCCTAATGATTTACACCCAGAAATCTCTTTCCAAATTTCATTCTTTCTGTTAGCCTCAGTATTTTTATCACTAGGTCTTTCTAATCCCTGCTTGTACTGAGGAGATGAGATTTACACCCAATGAATGCTCAACAATCATAGATAACTTTTAAATAGAGATGACAGTGATTCACTATGAAATTATATATGTATATTCTTGCACGTTCTTGTTACAATTATGATTTTACTATTGTCGTCATAGAGGCTGAAACAATTTGAAACTAGACATTTATCTCAAGATCTTTCTGATGGATTAAATTCAATGCAAAAATCAAAACATGTCATGGTTAGAAAAACTATCCCAGAGAAAGATATACCTAAACCTATGCGCAAGTAAGCAAACATCATCCTGTGTTTTACTCCTTTTTTCAGTTTATTCACGATGAATTTTGACGATTCGTCAAGTCCATAAAAACATCTTTAACTGAATCGTTCATTAGTTTTTATTCAGTGATGTGAAAAACCTTTTATGAGGTTTAAACAAGTTCAAAAGATTATAAGTCACTTGTGACTCATTTCATCACTGTAAAATATGATCGAATAGTGAAACGGAGTAAACAACCGGAATAAAAATGGGTTAGTAGTTAACGAGTGACATACAACATATGTTACCAGATTAACTAAGTATCAGGAAGTAAGATAATGAAACAGAAATTCCTCTACTATGCACTTCAGTTAACGCAGGTACGTAGTCTCACCAAACATTATAGATTGTTTATTTGGTTGTTGTACCAATCAAGTCATTCAGTTGTTCCATTAGTTTCATAAATTAAATCATGAAGTAACTTTAGCTAGACCACTTAGGAGACAATCCTCAAGCTCTGGACGGTTAGTGCATCCTAATATGGGACTTTAGTACTATTAAGTGCTTCCAGGCTTTCAATGGTAACCTAACTAAGATCATTTGGTGAATCAAACTACGAAAGTCTTACAATCTCCACAAACCATCTATTCTGTTGTTATTGGTAGGTGGAAGAAAATCAGTCCATAACTCTATTGTTGAAGATGTGGTCTATTCTTGTCGTTTGTTTCCATCAAAAACGACTGAAATTTTTTCATGAAGTAAGAAAAACTGGTTTTAAGGGAGGCCGGATAAAAACTTGTGTGAGGTGGGATTTTTGAAATTCGTCGTTTTAAGGCTGGCTTTTATGTACAGATGCAATATATCCCGCCCTTTAGTTTACCATGGTCCTGGCAGAATTTTCCTTGCTTTGTAAGTGACTTTCGACCGTTGACTAACCTTGTGTACAAACACGTTTCCACTTTTTAAATAATTTAGATCTCTGCATTCACCCGATCGACAAACTTTTATTATTTTAGTTCGCAGTACTTTGCTTATGTTCCTACAAATATGTTTAGACTTTTGTAAATGAGTATGTATGAATGTATATATTAGCCAAACTATGCATTTACTTCTTTTATCCTGTTAAACATTTATTGCTTAAACTCTCAATGAGACTCTCACACTAAAACATGCTTAGTTTTTAATTTATATCCATTGACTCACTCTATTTGCTGTATACTGATCATATCGTTTGAACTGTACGCTTGAAATTATTTTTCTTAACAAACTTCGTCCCAACTTTTAATTATCTCATGCCGCCAGTGTTTATCAAAGTTACTTATTTGAAATGTATATGAATTAAACGACAACTACATAAGCTCTCTACTGCAAGGTGGTGATCGGACGTTGGTAGAATTAATGACTGATTGACCGTTATTTCGATGTTCATTGACAACACGGGATAATCTAAGGTTAGGACGACGTTTGTTGGGAAAAATAATTTCAAACGTCCAGTTCAAATGATATGATCAGTGCACAGTAAAGCAAATAGGTGAATGAATATAATTTAATAAGTAAATGAACTTTAGCAATGATGTTATAACGAAGCCTACACATTCATTTGTTCTATCGATATTAGTTTCCGGTTAAATTTTCATTTTATCACCTACTTTTTCCACAATGCATCCTCAAGTGTTGCAGTTTTGAGAAAAGCTTCGGAAGATTCTCAGCTTGCAGAACAAATTACTTCAATATCATATAACAACAAAAGACTTTCTTTCAGAAGACCATCAAATATTAATTGGCATGCAGCTGGTCTAGGTCCACGTTTTAGTCCTGAGGGAACACTTTTAAAACATAGTGTTCTGGGTGATCCTGTTATATTTTATCAAATTGCTTTAACCCGTGGAGATATCAGTTGGAATGTAAGAACTTGTGTCTTAAATTGAGTTTTAAATTCATATTACTGTCTTCAAATTTTTACTTGATGTAATCGTGGATATGCTGGAATATTATTCTCTCCGATGTTGGTTTGTGTTTGGAGATATTCATCTGTTAAGTTCTCCTGTAAGCAAGAAAATCTCAAAGGTCCCCAGATATTTCAGGTTACATAACATAGCGCTTCAGTTGGATTCATCGTTCGAGTTATTCACATTATGAAATAACTAAAAGTCATCTGTAGTGGTGAAAATTACCATTACCGTTCATCTTCACTAGAATGGTAGATAACATGATTTCCCGTTCCATTTGTCTGAGTGATCTTTCTGTTCTTTGACAAATGCACTCTAGAGCTTTTTAGATGGAATGCTGTTGTAAGATTTAGCTTTTTGATAATTAATTTGACCCAGTTGTTTTGTTGGAACTTGTACAGTTTAAAGATAGTTTCTGAGAAAAAATGACGTCAGCTTAAGGACCAATGTTGGAGACTTGTAGTTAATGTGCGTAACAACCCCATTCAACATTGAACTATCAAACTCTTAGTAATTTTACATTTTATGAAAATCAACTTTGAAATAAATATATCTATACAAAACACCAAAGTAAAAGAATAATTTTACTCTTAATTATGACTAGAAATGATATTCACTTCCTGAAGTTTCCGTAGGAAGAAACGGCCAAAATGGTAGTTAAACAGTAAATCATTATTGATTTTTAACAAGGACCAAGATCTGATAACAGTCAACTAAATTTGTAGATTTAAATCATTAGGTCAGAAAGTATCACACTTCTAGACCGAAAAATTACCAATCGGATGACGTGTTGAATCGTAGATATGCGTTGCTATGAGTCATAAAAAATACGAGAAAAACTCTATCTAGTGAGCCATACTTTTTAAGGGTTCTCTAGATGATGTTATTTTGTGATAGAAACTACATTTATTTTCATGCAACTGACAGTTCAGTACTTTCTCCATATCATCGGAATATTCTTTTATTAAGCAATATTACATTCTAAAACTGTCATTCAACAAACAAATAATGGATATAACTGTTCTTTATAGATGGTCCCAAGAGAAATTCAATTACAGCTTCAAACTACCATGGCGGAAATGCGAAATCTCAACTTACCTGTTGCTTTATCATGTATTCCGGAGCAAACAAGTCCTGGATCACATCCCTCCAACGATTCACATTTAACAGTTAACCATAGTACAATATCAAATTATCCATCAAATGAGCAAAGTAGCAAGAAATTATTTAACTCAGAGACAAACAATTTACATTTAAATGGTGATACTGCATCGTTGGAGAATTGGAAATTAAAAATTGTACAACAGAAATTAATGCAACAAAAACTATCTAGTACAAAAACCATTTATTTAACTCAGTAGTTGATAATGTACATAATATTATATATGCATTTGTATTAGTTATTGATACTTTTACAAAATCGATGTACAATCTAGTGATCAAAACCCCATAACAAAATTTACCTTATCGTTTATTAATCATACTACCAAATGAAATATTGTAGTTTACATAACGAAGTTAGCCTTTTAAAATAATTATGAAAATCCGGCAGGCACTGAACAGCTACTTCGTCCTAGTATGGAACTAGGTAGCAGCGCGTATCCACGGCTTCTCACGTAAACTCAGGGGATGAACTCTTAAAATTAGTCACTAGTGTGTTACCTGGTACTTTTTAACTTTCATTAGTCGTCTGACTTAATTTGGTTAGCGATGTAAACTACAAAATTCAACAATTCCCACAAACCTCTTATACTAGTAAAGTTAAATAAGGTAAATCACATGAGAATATTTCTCTTTACCGAAACAAATGACCGTTATGGCTTAGATGCTTCATTAACTTAGTTTGTTGATTAGTTCATTTTTAAATCACTGAACCCTTTATTAAGTGCTGGAATATCAAGTGTAATCACGGTTAGTTACATTGTATTAAATAATATTTCAAGATCCTTTCAAATAGGAGAGGATCCTAATGCTCATTCATCAAAATTTTCCTAGTGATATTTTCTCTTGATGAAATCAATGATTCCAGAATCGTGGTTAATCATTTCCAAGCTAGTTTTCTACACTGGACTTTGAGTCCCTCTTATTTATATCTTCTTGAAGATTTGCAGTGTGTGTTCAGTTAAATTGAATGAATTATGAAAGACACAGTGATTAAATCACTTTTTTGTGTGTAAGTTATTCACAAAGAGAAGGAATATATAATTATGTTTTTACAAGTATTTTGATACTTTCTCAATACTGGATACTGAAAAGGTCTTTCTCTGAGTTTTCTCTAAATAATCTAAATTGATTCAATTAACATTTCTTATGAAATTTCTTTCGCATAATTCAATCTTAATCCTATATCCCAAAGATTAGATTATAAACGTAATTGCAATATTGAATTATACATGTATAACTATTACTATGTTTATTTTGCACTATGACAACTGATGATCAAGTGATAACCACAATATATTTTTGTAGTATATGATTATGTAATAGCCGATTCGCGATTAAAATACTAATTAAGAAAAATTTCTAATGATAAGGAAACAACTTGAATAGTAATTTTAAAACTTAGTAGGAGTTTTAATAGTAAATTCATAACATTCCTTCGTTTATTATCGTCTTATAAATATATAGCTGGTTAATTATAGTCAAATAACCTTCAAATATTGGTCTACCAGGGTGCTTGGTATCTGTGTGGTTGCGCCACAGGATTGATCTGTACTATTCAGGTTATAGCGTTAAAGCCTATACGGTGTCTGGTTCTCCTGTGAAGCGGGATTGAGCTGTACTGCTCGGTTTATAAAAATTAAGCCTGGCTGGTGTCTGGTTCTCCTGTTAAACGGAGTTGAGCTATACTGTTTGGGTTGTCACGTGAAAGTCTGGATGGTATCTGGTTCTCCTGAAAACCAATGTAAAATTACCCTGGCCCATAAAGGTATATTATATAAGTGAACCTTCAAATATCCATATACAAAAATTAATTATTATTCAATTAGTTTATTTATTTTTTTCATAGATTTAATGAAAAGAAAACCCAATGATTTAATAATGAACTCTGGAGAAAATTTTTATGAAATACAACTAACTAGAGAGAAAATAGATCGTCTAATTCCACTGGTCAATGATGGAAAAGGAAGTAAGTTAAACTATTAACCATTCAAAATGAACATAGAATGGTAACCGTTGTAACTTATTATATTAAGACAGTCTAGAAAATTATGTTCATCACAAAACTTCAAACTTACAAATTCACTTTCATATGAAGTCGTAGGTGTGTATACTTGAGTATCAACTTAGATTAGAATATTTGTTCAATGTTTCCTGGCTTTCACTTATTCTTCAACTAGCATCAGTTCATGACAAAAAGTTATCTTAAAATGTAAAAATGGTAGTGCTTACCTTTACCTACTCATGATCAGAAACTTGGGTCAAAATACTTCTGTTTCAGGCTGTATGCTGTTGATGATGATAACTGGCATAATGAGAGTGTTTTTCTTTCTGTTGCTTCTTCTATAGTTCTTGTGTTTCAAGATATCTTCATATTAAAAGTTAAAAACTAATGCATAGCGATGTGTCAATGAAAAGTTTTTGAAGACAGTCAAAGGGAAATTGTCAAACTAAACATGTTCAACAAGAGTTCACTAACTTATTTAATCTACGTTTTCATTATGATATTTGAATAAAAGAATAGCCTACACAAGGAATGCTCTCTGTTTACATCTACAGCTATAAGACGCAAATTCAAACTTAGTAATTCAGTAAGCTTGTAATGCTTTTTATCAAACGAATGTGTCTTTCACGTATTTTTTGCATGTGGTGTGGCAACTGAGTAAGCCACTGGGAAGGACTCTCGAGAAAGACGTTAATTTGATGGATGAGGTTTTGAACCTTCACGGAATATATTTGCTAGGTCAAGTGTTAGTTAAAGTGATTTATATTAAAACTATACCATTTTCTTTGCATCGTTGAATGCTTGACTGATATTGGTTTGAGTTTTCTGTCTAGGTACATAATATTTCCTAATCATTTTAAATAGTTACTTTGTTTTGGTCAGTTTTATTTTTATTTTTCTTTAAAACTCTGGAGACCTTGCTTTAAAGGAATAATCGTTTTACATAACCTATACAATCAAAAGAAATAAGTCAAAGAAAGGTCGAATCAAAATTGTTGCACCTCAGAGGCGTTAGCGATTCGTCAATTTGAGTCCGAATTCTTCGTGCAAAAGCAATAGGTTCAAAGTTTCCTCCTTGCATAGAACTAATTCCCTTCTCCAATGTGTTTTGGCTAGTTTTTGCTTTACTTGTTATTTTGTACATTTTTAAACCGCAATCGGTTGTTATTATCCATATTTACGTTTTTCATTCTTTCTTCATATCCGTTAAGTGAAGAACTATTTCCCATAATTTTTGACACATAAATTATTTTCATCCACTTGATCAATACTCAACCTTCTTTCGATATTTGAAATCTTGGATTATTTAATGATGCGATCTCTTCTATAGAAACGAAGGTACAGCCTGAGTAAATACTTTCGTTAAAAGAATTCTCCCCGCTGAATTTCCTTTATTATTTATATTTATTTTGTAGCATATTTTTTTACTTTGATATTTATTATAGCAAATACGTGTTGGTCAGGTGGATAGCGTGTTCTTGAACTGAGTTAAGTTGACCAGTGGTAACTCAGTCACTGTCTGCGTGACAATTATAACGTTGTGAAATCTCTATCAATCGTCCTGGGAAACTAAACGCTATATTAGTGTTATAAAAATATCTAACTTTCCAACACTCACACGCTTGATTAGAATACATTTTCTCGTTTCAATATCTTTTCACATAAAAGAATTTGATAGACATGAGTTACTCTTACGATCATTTAAACGAATATTAACAAGTTTTCAACATAATTACAACACGATTCCCTTGTTAAATATAATCCCAATTCTTCTTTTCATCTTTAGGAAGATATATGAGCGAATTTTGGAATCAACCGGAATATATTAGAAATGCTGAATCTAGCGATTTGTGGTATGGGTATAAGTATTTATGCAATATATTTATCATCAGATTTTATGTTAGGATATATTGCTTATGTTCTTCAACTTTGAATTACAACTTCAATTACTGTTTAGGTTTGTTGACAACAAAAAGAAAATAAGACTCGTCGTTTACTTTTCTTGAAATTCGTAACATTTTGTGATAAAACCACCTATACTATAACATCCCTGAAATTAGATAATTTTGTTGAAATATCGAGTCATTTTATCACTGAAAATAGGTGTTATAATAATGAGAGAATCTGAATTTCAAACACTGTGTAGCAACTTCCAACTAAGGGACAAGTAGTTTGCTCTGTATTATTTACTTACTTAAGACTATTACCCCTCGTGAAGGAGCATAGGCCGGTTACCAGAATTCTCCATCCATCTTTTTCCCGAATAATGATTTACAGTTGTTTCCAATTGCTATTTACCCTTTTCATGTCTGCTTCCAATTTTCGACGCAGTGTGTTCTTTGGTCTTCCACTTTTCCGTTCCACATCAAGATTCCAGGTTGACGCTTGCCACGTGATGCGATTTGCTGGTTTCCACAATGTATGTCCTATTCACCTCTAGTGTCTTTCCCTAATTTCCTCCTCAGTTGGAAGCAGGCTTTTTCTCTCCCACACTAAGTTGTTGTTGATGGTTATCGGTCGACGGACATTGAGTAGACAATTGTTTATAAATACCTATACCCTTTTGATGATGAATGTAGTAGTTCTTAAAGTTTCGGCTCCGTATAGCAGAACTGTCCAGATGTTCGTATTAAAGGTTCCGACTTTGATGTTGGCTGACATTTATTTCGAGTTCCATATGTTTTTCAACTGTAGGAATGCTGAACTTACTTTGCTAATCCTTGAGTTCACGTCTACATCAGATCCTCCTTGCTCATCGATGACGCTCTGTATGCCTTGGTGTTATCACTAGATTTCATACGAAACGTGTTTCTAAAAGCAATTCGTCCCTTTGATAAATTTCGATAATGTAATAAGAAGACGAAGATTATCAGAACTATGTTTCTTAAAGCCCAGTGTATTTATTTGTAGCTGGTCACTGAGTTGTCACTAACTATACATATAGAAACTTATCAAAATACTCAATGTACATTAAATAACAGGAATTTCAAGAATATCTTATGTTTTGAGTCTAAAGATTAGCAACAAAGTCTGTGATATAGAAACTCAGATTCTTAAGATAAAGGAGCAAAGGAAGTGGAGAACAATATGCAGAAAACTTCCAAAATCCGCAGAAAGGATATAAGTAAACGAGAGAAATTCTGATAGCTACAGATTTATGGGACAAATAACTGATCCCTTCTACATTGTGCATATTTAACAAGCACTAGTAGAAATGACCTATCCTTAAATATAGGAATGGCGGCCGTTTGATGTTGTATAGGCTTTAGTGATCCATTTAAAAAAATTCCACAAAGGTACCTGACCTATTTATCACTTGACAAAAATGTGCAGCCTTATCAGGTTTAGAGAAGAATGATATGGTTTATGATTACAGAGTAGTTTTTCTTGCTATATTTTAGCTCATTTTATCTCGTATTTATCGGGTCATATGAGAAAAGAGGGTTTCAACTAAGTGGATGCTTTATCGTCACTTTGTGAGATTTATTTCTATTCGTGAAGATTTTAGTTTCGCTCAAAGAAATTTAGGTTTTAACTCCATCTACTTTCTTGTTGACAGCAATATCAGACTCTCAGAAATTATCATATAGTTTATGAGTTGTACTCTGTTTACGGTTGACAACGCGCACTGAGATAACATGATGTTTGATCACTAATTTATTTTTATCTAGCCCATCAAATTGGTAGGAATGCTAATAAGGTTACTAACTACCTGCGTATTTGCTTTTTATGCTATATTTGATTTCCAGTGTGTCCACTGCTAAGGAGTTCCAGTTCAAGATGAAATAGGAATTCCCACAGACTACCTTTAAATACCAGGTATTTCAACATAGGGTACAGGATACCGAGTTACTTTGAATATTGGTCACGGAATAACTTGGTCGGTAGATCTCAGTTAGTATTTTAAGGACAGCGATCACTATTCAGTGATCAATCAATTCTGTATATCTCAATTTTACAGAAAGTCAACTGCTGCTGGAAAAAGCAGTAGTAAAGTCTCAGAGTTTGGAGTTGGACGATGTGAGTTTAAATCCCCTAGACAGTATCAGCTTTTTCAAGGTTATAAGTATACTTTCTTGATGGTTACCAATCAACGCAAAACCTAGATTATATATATATATATATATATATATATATATATATATATATATATATATAACTTTTCAACGCCGTTAGTATACTTTGTTTATAATTTAATATTTACTTCCATTTACTATATATAATAAATAGATTTTTATCAAAAAGTCATAGTGTCTGCATCTTGTTTACATTGTTTTTTCTCCCCATTTATTTCCTAGTACAACGATGACAATGAAAGAAAAAGGTATATATAAACCACTTGAATTTATCAAATGTCCTAAAATAATTGAAATAGAAAAAGGTTAGTCATTTGTATTTCACCGGTTTCCTCCCTCTTATTCTATTCATTTATATTTTTATTACTAATATAACGTGTTATTGGAAGTTATGACAAATTTAGGAAGTTGAATTCAATTTTGTGAACAAAATGTAAAAATGTCGATATTGAGTTCTCAATTAAACCATTTATATTGAAGAACTCAGCTCCACAAAAATCATCCACCTGAGATAAAAATTTTCTTCATCATTACAAAGTGTGTAAATGAATCCAAATATAGCTAAATACATAACCTGTTACAGATTTACTAAGCTACCAGATATTGTTTACAGATTTAGTCTGTTCTCTATCAAAATATATAAATAAAATGACTGTAACTTGTTTGCCGATCAGTAATTTTTAACTTTGACTTCTAACCACACTTTGCCAACTTCATATTTTACTTACTCGTCCTATAAATAGGCATTATCTCACCGGAATGCAATAACAATGATGCTTCAAAAGAATGTATAACTGGAATCAAATACCAAAACACATATTTGATGGATAGAACTCAAGAATTATCTGACTTATTAAATCAAATGGTGCCACATGAACCAATAATGGATGAGTTAGCAATAACTGGTCGAAAAGTTTTAAAAAATCAAGTAGAGTAAGTTTTACTAATATAGTTGTACGTTATAATATTGTTGTAGTAGATAAATAAATAATTTAAAACGTGGACCGACCTTATTTACACTACCATTAAAATCTAGGAAGCACTAAATAATTGTTTTGTCCTTGTATGAGAATCCGTAGCAGAGTGCATCCACAACTTCATATCTATAGTCAGATCTAGGACATGCAGGTCTCGTGACATGCGCTTAATCTTTTAGTTACAAAGTTGACATCAAGTTGCTTAGATTTCTTTTTTATAGATTTCTAATGTGAATAAAGAATAGATTGATCTTATCAATATCTTACTATAATCTTTCATGATTTCAATACGCTCATCATTTTAAATTTCATATATTTAGAACCAGTAGATACTATTCTGTCTTAGTTACATATTAATTTCTTGAAAAGATGTTCATATTTTTGTAAATACACCTAATCAAAAAATCTTATGATTTCATATTTATGTAAAATATCTATATGATGAAATGAATTTTGAAAGTTTACCTCAAATCTATTTAAATACAATCAAATTAAGTTTTTTTTTGAAAATAGAGGATTTAATTATAAACTATAACTATACTGTAAGTTTCAATATCGAGAGTGAACTTGATGATTGCAAATAAATTAGTCAATCAGTCAGTTACAACGTAGGACCAGGCATATACATTCATCGGTCCAATTTGCTACACCTCATTAGCATAGCAAGACGAAAACCGGATCCATAGAGGTAATTAACTCAATAGTGTAATATATAAAGGAATGGATATAGTACAGAAAGAAAGTATTAGTTCGTAGAAAGAAAGATGTGAAATAATTTTAATCTCATAGTTTAAGGGAAGACAAAGAGTGTATACACCGATGCCATTATGATCGATTATGAGTAGAAAGTTAATATTAAAAAATTTGGTATTTTTTAAGATATCCTAATGAAAAAAAGAAAAATACATATATACGAATATTCGTCAAGATTAGAACTAATAGTTTGACAAAAATTAGGTGTCGAGTATAGAGAAGTCATTATATGTGAAAAATTATGTTTAAAATAATCTCATCGATTGAAATTTAAATAATTACAACGTTCCGTCCAGCTAACTTGTCTGAACTTCTTCAGGGTAGTAATCAAAATTATATTTCTAATGTTCCTTAACTTGATTTAAGTCATTTCTTTGAATTTAGTTGACATAAGTTTTAAAAAGCTTATGTTAATTTATCTTGCTTATTTATCTATTTACTTTGAAGAAATGTTTTATACTGAATCACGAAACATTAAATATTCGAATTTCTATTTATTGTGATATTACAAGAAGTATCCAGGACACGCGTTTCGTCCTATTTGGGGCTCGTCAGCTGAATGTACCTGCATCTCAGAGTTGATGTTCACTCTGGGACTCCAATCCGGTACCGTTCGCTTTAAACGTCATCGCGTTATCTACTTAGCTAATGAATCCTGATAGCCACTTGCTTGTGTAATGGGTTCAGTGTTTTATTTAATTAATGGTCTAGAAGTGAACTTATAATTTACTTTTGTTTTTAAAAAAAACTTTAATTCAACTAAAAAAGTGAGTCTCCTGATGTTCAAAACTTCAGTAAAAAACCAAATGAAAATATTATACCAGAAGTTTCACAGATATTAGAATCTGGAAAGTCTATAAATCCACAATTGAATTCGAAAATTAATGAATCCTATGTCAATGAACCATCTTTATATTTGAATGGTTATCATTTAAATTGGCAATCGATTTCTTCAAGTCAATCACCACGATCGGGTATAGATATTCATTTAAATTTTGAAGTAAGTTTATTGATTTTGTATATTCTTCAATATCATACAGTAAGTTTCTTTCATCAGAAACAAATGATAAGAGACTGTAGTTTAGGACTAGAAGTATACGGTTAATAACTTTCATGGAGAAAGTTCAAATAAAGTTGTAGCCATTATTTTTTTAGCGTGAACTTAAATGATATTGACTTTTCTAAACTCAATACATTACAATCCATTTGATGTTTATATGAGTATTCTAAATATTCTGTCAGTTAGTATAGTATATAAAAACTAAAATATTACAGAAATACCTGTATTATGAATAAATTGCTAACTTTAAATCGTTTTCATCCTAAAGTTCATATACTTTGTTGCATATAACGTAAGTGAAAATTAACTATAATCTATTCAAATGATATAAAGTTAATGTACATCATCTTTAATAACGTTGTCTTCACTATTCAATAACTACTAAGTGTCTCATTTGTAGTAATATCTTCAGATTTTAATCATCTCCATACATTTTCAATTTTAAGAATAGTGACAATACAAACAATTTGTTTGATTTCGATATCAGTATGGGGTTGTGGAGATAATTAAGTTTTTAATTAAGATCATGAAACATTTGATGTCAGACCACCATTGAAAACCTTGAAGCAATGGATGGTCATTTTGTCTTATTGTAGAACTCCTCAACGGTGCGTATTCATGATCCCTCTCGCTGGATTCGAACCCAAGGTCTTCGGTCTAGCGCGCGAACACTTAACCTCTAGATCACTGAGTATGTAATTTTTTTACGAAATTCTTTATTCTATTTACGTGATAAATCACCAACTACTTTTTTGTGTAGCATTATATAACTGTTAAGCTGGAAAATTATAATATTTTTAATTATTCATTTTTAGACGGTTATCCTCAGATGGTTAATTTATTTATCCGAATATTGTATATTATGAGAAAGTTCAGAATACTTGGTAAAAACATGTTAACTACAGTATTCAGAGTTAGTATTCACCTGATCTACAAAACTGACCATTATTCTAAAAGCGTATCACTTACTTAAACTAATACAAAATTTTATAGAATGTGACCTGTATGTTGAGCTATAATACATGTTGTGAAACTGTCAGAACTTCATGATTTTTATTTTATCACGACAAAACCCTTTAATACGGTAATATTATTAAAAATTGTGAGATTTACTTTCATTATTAATATATTAATTGTCATTTTAGAATGAATCTCCGATACTGCAAACAGATTACATTGAATTGTTTAATAATGGAAACGTTCTTATATCATACGAATGGACTGTAAGTCCAGATATTCATTGATTGTGTGATTATTATTATTATCGATTATTTTGCTGTGAACAGCATAAAAAAGTATTTCAACATATTTTACTTTAGTTTTCTAATGTTCTTTCTTATACCTTACCACTAATAACTGAAAAAAGAACAACTCCATTTATTTTAGAAACTAGCGGTAAATGGTCTTCAGTACAAATATAATTTTTTTGATTAGTTTACTTGTTAGTTAACTTTTAACCAAACTCACATAATGTTCTACCTCCTTGGGATTCAATTTATGAATCTCCTACACACTGAGTCTCGTTCAAAGATGAATATACAGACCTGTACATCTTGACAATATATTTGTTCATGGATGAATTAATTACTAATACTGTGGACATGTAGTGTCGGTTACTATGTTAAGCCCATATTATTTATTCTAGCTTCTGGATAGACCAATTTATCCATTCTTTTTGAGTCACGTTTTGACCTCGTTAATTATTCACTTATCAACCTTGACTGTTTTTATATGAGCGTATGTGGGTGCGATTCTTATCTCATTCATCACATGTCTGTAACTTATTTTTGTGTAGCTATAAATATCAATTAAAGCTTGATTAAATGGAGTTAGCTTACATACCTTCTCCATTTCACGTCATTTCGCTTCTCTCTCTCTTCGCTTCATTTCATCGATCGTTTGTCTGGATCAACGATTGCATGAAATATACATACTCGAAATTCATTTATTAAATTTATTTAATTCCATCATTCACTAACGTGATTAAGTCGATGATTATATAAAAGGATAGCCAGGATGTATATTTCGATTACAATTATTCATACGATCTAAGTGAAATCAGAACCCGGGCCACTCAAGACAATACATTAAAAATTTATTTAATATTGAATCGATTTTAACTCTTGTACTCCACAAAAATACATAATAACCAAGTACTTATCATCATAATAAGTTAAATTTCAACCAAAACCACAGAAAAAAATAGCCCAATTTATAGTTTTATCTGAAATCATCTATGATTCATTAACAATTAGCCTATAGGTCGAATTTAAGTTTATCAGTATAGATAAATGAAAAATTGTGTAACCTCAATAATTAACAACTTAATTAATAACAACTTATATCATTCATTATGTATTTATACATTAAAATTTGTATTTCGCTCAGTTAAGATTATTTTATCACATTAATTTCAGCGTATTCCTCGTAAAAATCATTTTGAATTGGATGCCAAAGATAATAATGTGTTTTATTTTGACTCTAAACCAGGTAAGTAGTTATTTTTATTAAAAAAAACAAATAAAAATTGTATTAACATCTTAGATGAAAATACATCTGAGATATAATCATAAATTACTAGAAAATCTTATATTTACAAGCTTCTTGGTTTGATTTTGAATAAAACAAATCTTTTGTTCAATTCTCAATGGTTATCGTTCATGAACGGGATTACTCATCTTTCGATAATTCATTTTGCAAAAATACATCTGTTCAATGAACTTTCCATTTTATGACTGAATCAGTAGTTTTACCGTGTTTCTTAATCATCTTTAATGACTATGGCAGGAAAGAGGGAACCTTTTAAATGTTTAGTTACCAGTTGTCTATTGTCTGCAGCCACCTAAGAACAACCGGTTAGTGAGCTTACTTTTTGTGCTGATATTAATTTTATTGGTTGATTAAATCCTTAAGAACACGAAGACTATCTGGAGGATCTCTTTTCAATGAATTTATTATAGAGCTATATAATAGTATATATATATATGAAATTCGAAGTATTACTTACATGAAGACAATGAAACAATGTGATGATTTAGTAGAAAGATTCTAGTGCTAGATTATATCGTGTAGACGATAACAATTAAAAATCATAATTCATTTTTGTATTGGTTGTTTGAAACTTTTGATTGATGTTTAGAACTGCCATTGATCAGTCTCTTATTGGCATATGTGCATACTGTGCGTATCACCTCGATATTGCCTTAATTCATAAGTATTCTAAGTAGAGATGGATAGTGGCTAGTAGTGGAATCCAGGACTCACGTTTCGTTCTATTTGGGACTCGTCAGTTGTATGTACCTGCATCCCAGAGCTCTCTGTTTATAGTTAGAGATTATGTGTGTACAAAGAAAATTAATGATTTAACATCGGACCATAATGTGAATAAAGAAAGAAAATTAAAATGTTTTCATTAAAATTATTAAAATATTAGAAGGATTAAATAAAATATAGTGACATCAGAACCCATGTTAAATAAAATCATGAGAATATGAAAAATAATTATGGAGAGACGAATATTTTCAAATGAGATACCGATGAAACAAAAATAATAATAATAATAGCACTGATAGTTTAAGATCATGGTAAAAATAACGATTATAAGTGCTTCTTTTGTACATACAGATCAAGCTTCATTTCGTGGTTGACAAGAGCTTCTACTGTTTTAAGGAGTTGAATAAAAAGAGATTTTTAGATTTCAAGCATCTAAAAATGATTTTCAAACCTTTTACCATAACAGAAAACTTACGTTTCCACTCAGTGTACATGTTTCATTTTAACTGTTATTCATTTTATCCTTTGTCATAATCAGAATTACAATCTAAGGAAATATTATTCATCAATAGTTAAATGTTTTCATTTCAGTTATATGGTTTTTCTAATCCATGCGTATTTAAAATCTCAATTTTTTGTCTGCACAAATTAAAGTTTTTTATTTACTAATTTCATAGGAATAATACACCCAGGTGACATTGTTCACTTGCCAATCACTCTAAAAGCTCATCATGAAGGAATTTATAAAGAGGTTTGGCGTTTTGATACAACTCCAGTCTTTCAAGGAATGTTGCCAATCCGCGTACACTTCCATGCTATTTCTGTATGGCCAGAATATCATCAATTTTGTTCTTTTCTGGCAAAAGATATATTTATCCAAGTAAGAGCTATTAATTTCATTTATCCATTGTTACATACTCCATGGTTTGTAATGAAAATGAGACGGGATATGCTGAAATAAAACTAATCATAGACTTATAAACTTATTGATACGAAAGAACTGTTTCAAATCAGCATTGGCGAGAATATCATTGAAAACATTTGATGAAGCCAGATATAAATCACTACTAGCATCTGATATTTTCGGTTTGTTAATCATTATACACGTTTATGTAGATAAAAGAAAAAATTACCAACTATATTGAAGTAAAAATTCCCATTTTGGCATTTGGTAAAAAGAACGAATTCAGCAAAGAAAGGTCTCTCCAATTAGTTATCATGACTCTATACTAATATGTATAATTCAAAGCCATGAAATAATACTCATAGAGTAGTTCCGTTACGCAATAATTATAAAATGATACGTTGATTATAAAATGATATTGAGTTATTGGAAGAAAGAGGGTCGTAAAGCAACTAATAGACTCATTGAAACAAATTAAACAGCGAGTTTTATTTCTGAAGTGTTCGAAATGTTGAGAATTTCAGGAACAATGACACCAAAGCCAAACTACGTAAAAGTGGCTTGCCCCTTTTACCCGTTTTAGATATAAATAATTCAGGTTGTCATACGATAGCAAAATGGTTAGTGGAAATTCTCAAACTATTGAACAAGGAAATTATTAAGCATAGTGTTAAGGATTCCTTTGAATTTGTTGACAATATAGAAAATCTGTGAGTATCAGAAGATGTATCGTCCTTATTCACTAACGTCCCCCTACCTGAAACTAGATTTTATTTTCAGTAAAATTATGAAGAGGAGCATAGAAACCCTTATTCCCGTATCCGCAATAAAATAGTTGGTTATTAGATGCGAGATGACTGTTCACTTCCGATTCAACAATGAATACTATGGACAATTGAATGGGGTCACCACAAGACCTTCTGTTAGCAAATTTTGTTCTTGAAAAACTGGAAAATGGACCACTTTAGGATAAAATCAGTCATCTAACATCTTATTGTCGCTATATAGATGATACTTTCATAGTATTAGAAAAAGTAAATGAAAAGTTACTTAATATGGTTAATAACATTCGTCTATCTTTTACGTCTATACTAGAGGAAGAAAAAAGTAATAGCATATAGTTTCTAGATGTCCAACTGACAAGAAGAGTAGTTGGGATATTAAAAAGAAGGATACGTAGAAAGTTCGCAGTTGAACAATATGCTCGTTTCTTTATTCTTGTAACAATCAAACTCTAGACCACTGAATCGGCATCCGTCAGTATTAATGTCTAACTCCAATCAATCCATGATCTTGCACGACCCTTCATCCATTGCCTGAGGTTGATAACTCTCTCACACTTGATACAGATTGGGCTCCATGACCACTACGCATCCACGATCCCGCACTGCTGAGGAGGCCCATACCAGACAAAACGGCCGTCCACTGCTTACAGGTTTTCAGTGGTGGTCTAGCTTAGATAGACTTGTAATTTATGATTTGTAATATTTCCCGAAAATAAATATAGAAAGTATGGAGGAAGGATTTTTAAACGTACGTATTATGAGCGGTTAGCATTATTGAATGCTACATCGATATTAGTATTTTATTTAAAGGCTGCACTAAAGTTATCGCCTAGGTTATTATCGTAGTCTTCAAATGTACAATTCTATTCTTAAAATAATTAAGTAAAATTGAAAAAAACCTAACTGAATCATTCTGTTTCTTTAGTTAGAGCAGGAAGCTAACTATCGAATGGTATATCGAATGCTACAAAATTTGATAATGAATATTCAACCTGAAGAACGTCCACCAAGTCCTATCCCTGAACCGAATACTGAAGAGGCAATATTTACGTTAACTAATCCAACTGTAAGCTTGCTACATTTTGGTAAATATCTATATATTTGTCAAACCAAGAAACAATACTGTTATATGTGCTTTCTTAAATAATCTTCATTAGATTCATTTGAAATGGTACAAGGTTTTAAGTACATCACTTCACTTAATAAACCTGCTTTCTATATAAGCTGTTCGTTTTAAATTCATTCCCGTATATTTGGTGGAAAACTTGGATTAAGTAGTTTAATATTTAATGAGGATGCTATTAGTTGACTTGATCTTTTTACAGAACTAAAATGCATCGTTTTCAGAGATGTGGAGAGAATCACTATATAGCTTGTATAGGTAGTTACAGTGGAGTATGAGAAATAAATTTAATATCAATTTACTAAAAAAACTAGCTCTTACTTCTCATTACGTTATTACTTACCCCTGAATAGATGGAAAACTTGCGTTGCCAGTACAGCGTGATACAGTAAATTCTTTGACATGCAGATATTGATCAGTACTGAATATAGACTTGTCTATCATGTAGTTATCGACAGTTTGATTTAACACATCTTTTTATACGTTAATAAATAATGATCTATAATTGTAGTCTTTGCCTTACTTTGTTGACTTATTCTGAGTTTTAACTCAGGATAAATGGTAAACGTGTGTATAGAAATAACCTAATCAGAATCGAAAACGGAAGTTTTGGGGTTTTTCGTTAAATTAAAATATCACCCATTAAGAACAGTGAAGATATCTTTGTATAGTGCCCAAAACATTTAAAATGAAAAAGCAAAAACTAATTTTGGTCATCACAGAACAAAAGAAGATAGTAAATAAATAATATATTTGTAATATCCCAATGAGTAGAAAATTAGATTTTCTGACGTTTCGTGGCTTAGTGTAAGTCACTTCTTCAGAGAATAAATAACCAAATTAAAATTAATCCAAGTTTAAATAGTACAACGGAACAATACAAGAATAATATTTGATCAATCAAAAAACAGATATGAACAAGTTGATGTCATGTCATTTTTCTCAAGATGATTCATAAGTGACGTGTATGTAAATTTGCATGTGTATGTATGTGTGCATTGTTTAAGAATGAAAAATCGTGTGACCTTTATGGTAAGATGGGATAGAGTTTAAATTTGTAATATGATAGTGTGAATTTGTAAATATGATCAGACTGAGTGGCTAGGATAAATGGCCCAAGTAGGATGTATGGTAAGGCCTTCCTTTCCGTTGAGAGAAGTAGGATTAAGCATTATATGGAACGCCTCAGTTACCCTTCTTTCTTTGTAGTTCGAAAAGCTTTTTGTAATATTTTGATATTTTTAAAATCGATTTGGTGGTTGTTGAAAATGGCATGAACTGCTATTGCCGATTTAATTTGAAGTTGGTTCAATTCTACAGGATTGTTAAGAGGTTTCTTTGTGTGCCTAATATGTTCTTTGGCTCCAGTCAAGATTTCGCGGGATGACTCTCCAATATAATAGGCATCACAATCGATACAACCTAATTTGTAGACGCAGTTTTGTGTGTACATGAAGGGGATTTTGTCTTTTAGGTGAACTAAAGTATTACGTAGTGTGTTCGTTGTTTTGTAGTATACTTTAATTCTGTGTTGTTTCAAGATTCTTTGGATTTCTTCTGTTGTTCCATGACGGTATGGTAAAACTGCAGTACCAATCCATGGTATTTCATTCGAATCATTATTATAACGTAATGAACTGTTTTGTTTTAATATGCTTCTAATAATCTTCAAAGGAAAATTATTAAATTGTAAGATGTCTTCCTTTGATGTGATGATCTTGTTAGCTCTTCTAAAAAGATTTAAGGCTAGCGAGATCTTAGAACTGAAAGGATGTGCTGAATGGAAGTTAATGTAACGATTTGAGTGCGTCGGTTTTCGGTAAATGGATAGGTTTAGACTTCCATTTGGATTTCTTTTTACTAAGCAATCTAAGAATGGTAGCTCAGCATGTACATTTTCATTTTCATTGGTGAATTTGATGTGCGATGAAAGTGTATTTATTCGTTTTGAAAAAGATCTTAGATGAGACTTTTTTATAACAACAAAAGTATCGTCTACATATCTAAGCCAAATTCGTGGTATAATGTTGTGGGCGAAGATATTTGATTCAATGTATGCCATAAAAAGGTTGGCTACAATCGGGGATACAGGGGATCCCATTGCTATACCGTTAGTTTGTTTGAATAACATACCGTTAAAATTAAATAGCGTTGAATTTAAGCAGAGTTTTAATGATTTCATGATTAGACTGATGCTCAACGGACATCTGTCAGGAAGAGTAATATCGTTCTCAAGTAAACCACTAATGAATTCTAAGCATTTATCAATGGGAACACTTGTGTATAAAAAAACGACATCAAAGCTTACCATGATTTCATTCTTCTCGATGATTAATCCGGATAATTTTGATTTAACGTCATATGTGTCCTTAATTATATTATGTAAGTTGAGTTGTAGTGGTTTTAGTATATTGCTTAAATATTTCGATAATGCATATGTTGGGGTGTTTGTGAAGTGCTAAAGAAGCCAGACGCTCAATTTTTTTCTATGTACTTACTTACGCCTGTTACATCTCATGGAGTAGCATAGACCGACCACCAACATTCTTTATCGAATTCTGTCCTGGAAAATTCATTCCAGTTGTTTCCAGTTGCTATTCATCGTTTTGATGACTTTCTGATTCCCGACGCAGTGTTCCTTGGTCTTCCTCTTTTCCGTTTCCCTTAAGGATTCCATGTTAGCATTTAGCTCGTGATACAGTTTGGTGATTTATGTAATATACATCCTATCCATTACCATCTTTTTCTAATTTCTTCAGTTCCATCCTATACCCTTATAAAAATACATATCTCTGAAGATATTTTTCATGATAAACCGATTTTAGTCAGAAAACTATGAAACTAGATAGTCAACTGTTTTTAATTTTGAGAGGACTAAGACACTACTCACTTGTGAGTTCACTAAAAGGCTTTAACACCAGATCTTAAAGTTTTGCAGCAAGTACAACACTATTTCATTGTTGTGTCAAAATCTAATAATCCGTGTTTGATATTTGTTCATTTTGTGCAGTTTCACTATAAATACCATGTGATTCAAAAACTGAAACAGCTTTATAAAGAGATGAAAGAAAGAGAAGTTAAATTTCTTGGAAATGATAATGAAACAATTCTATCCAACACTGATAATTGGAAATATTCTATAACTGAACTAAGAAAAGTGAGTATGAATTCTGATGAAAACTTAAAAAATCCGCCGTATATTGTTCTGTTGTTTATCTGAAATCGGATATTTTTTATATAATTTCAGTTATTACAAAGAAACTCAACTACTGCCAAAAATACCACTGATCGACTGGAAACTATCAGCCTTGATGAATTAATAAATGAATTGAAAATAACGATAGCATATGAAAATACACGTAGATGTAGAGTAAAAATAAATAATTCTAAAGGCTTAATTACTAAAACGAGCTAAGTTTGAGGAAACATCAGTATATTATACAATTAACTTGTATTCATCTCAACTTTCATGTTGTAAATAGTATTCTAGTCGAGAAGCTGCCTTGTTGTCCTGTGGTCCTGTGTACTATTTGTATAATCAGAATTCTGGGTTCCAATGCATATCATCGTTTTGAAATATATTGTTAATTTCTTATTCTCATATTGAACTAGTTGTGATTCGTTTATCTTAACGATAACCAATATACGTTTAACAAAATGTTTTATTAGTAATAAATGTGTCATTTTCCAGTACTCTAATTGATTCCTTGTGGTATGAAATGGATTTTTAACCTAAACCATTTACTTTCATAGTTATCTACCAAACTTTACAAAAACAAACACTCTAATATGTTAAGTATTGCCTGAAGTCAACTAACTTCAAAAGGCTTACAAAATAAAGTTAATGCAGAAATGTCCGAAACTGTTAAAGTATTATAACAAAAGTTTGATGATGTTTGCGTTTGATATATTATTCTAATATGGAAGTTAGTCAGTAAATCGTTTACTAAGTGAAGCGTATTCTTTAAACATTTAAACAAGAAAGATAATTAACTTAAAAACACAAAATGCAATGAAATAACAAAATATGATAATAAATAAATATTTTTAACACCTTTAGGCCATTAAAATTATGGTTTGACTTTTACACCCTTGACTTATTCCATACTACATTTAACACATAAAACTAGGGATATATGGCAACAGAATTTAATAGATTTTCATTGAATAAGAACCCTGATGTTTTATATCTTCACTTACCAACCAACATTCACTGTAGCGTTAGTTTATAGTTGATACAATTTCAAAATAATATCCAATAAAACTTTTATATATATATATATATATATATATATATATATATATATATATATATATAAATTTTAATTATAGATGATTTATAAATACTCACCTGATATGACCAAGGCAAATGCTGCAGCTAAAAGGGAAGAAGAATTTAACAAATTTTTTCAATCTGTTGACCAGCTAGTATTTCCTTCAAAAATAAGTTTTACAAATACATCTGTAGAACGTTATAGAATCGGGTAGATTACGAATAATTTTTTAATATGTCTTTCTTGAAATGGTTATCTTTGATTAAAATTTTAAATGGCATTTTTGATTATGAATTTTAGTTGAATTTTATGTTGTTATTATTATGAACAGTATCGTAAATATTTAACTTTACACTATAATGTAAATTTTAAAACTCGGTTGAACTCCATTGGTCACTGCTTCTCACTAGAACCCCAGGAAATGCCTTTCGTGGATGCGCACTGCTAAGGAGTCCCACAATAGGACGAAGCGGCCGTTCAATGCTTCCAGGTTTTCTATGGTGGTCTAGCTTCAGTTGGCTCATGATCTTAACCACTGAAATTATTAGATCCTAATCGAAAACAATATTGTTCGCTTACATATGTTGTTCTAAGGTATTTTCAAAACATTTGGGTTTACTCGCTGAATAGATTATAATTTGGACAAACCAGCTCTGATCGACATAAAAATGACGTAACCATAAATTCTAAAAACTATTTATAACTTGATCGTTGTGGACAGTTTAAATATTTCTACCACTGTTTACTTTTCATTCATTAAAAGCAGTTTAGAATGTCTTCATTAATCAAGTTAACTGTAACAATTTCTCTGAATAACAAGTCCTCTAGAAATCAGGAACTTTTTCAATTTCGAAGATATTCTTTACTTGTGATTTTCAACAAACAAGTTATTTTAATCTCTCACAAAATGTCAGCGTACACTGTACTCAAACGATAGATTCTGTTAAGCTTACTACGTTATCTGAAATTCTTTGAAAGAAGTATTCATTTTAGTAATTAGTATAATTAACATTATTAGTGCAGTACATAATATTTGGTTACAGATTTTTAAAAATTAAGTTATCTGTAGGACGTTATGAATAACTGTTCAGCTTCTCATAGTAGCAGTCATATAGATTAATTTTTTCACGCAGTTTTGGCAGAATTCTATTGAGCTTGGAATTAAAATACAGTCTTTTAACACTATATCCATCTTAATAGTCTAATGTATGATCAGAATTTTCTTGAATGCATTGAGCTAATATACCACACAGTTCGAGCAAACATTGTCTAGTCATTATATTATCTGAATTCATAAAAGATACTATAAATGTTGAACACTTCTTCCGAACTTTTGCCATTCTTTATTTCTAGCTACATACTTTTGTCGCAAACTTTTGAAAATCTCTTTGATTTGTGTTCAAATCTCCGGTGGCTCCATGGACTTCCAGAGCTTACTAGTTGTCCAATAAAGTGTAAGTCATAATAACTAATAGAAATTTTATTTATTTATTTCTGAATAACTGAATAATTTATAAAACATACTGGTATAATAATGAAAAATTTAAGTTTGCTATTATTATTAATAATCGCTTTATTCAATATTATATTTTTGTATAATATAAAAGTCTCAGCACAAAGTATTTCAATAAGTTTTTTTCCCTTATTTCTCGACCGATCCTGACGACAAAATATTGAGTGGTCGCCAATTAGATTTTAGCAATACAGGAATTGACATCTGAACAATGATTATTCTTTTCAATGCATATTGAGATCCATCACAATGTTTCTGATTGTACTTTTTTGTAAGTTGTACGGCAAAAGATCGTAGACTTCATAAACGCACAAAAACAGATAACATGTTGAAATAACTAGATGGCAGGAACAGGTAGCTCAGATATTCAAACAGGCTGCCTTGAGATTCATTGGAATATTACCAATATATATTATTTTTATTAATAACAATCTACTCAATGCTCAGTTTCCTTAAAATTACCAAGTCAAACCTAGGTGATTATATTTAGTAGCTCATACTGGTAAAATACTAATAGTTTTTTCTAAAAAAAACTAAGTAATTCGTAGAAAAGTATTACTTATTCATATGAAAATAGATGCTTCGAAAACATTTGTTTTTCAAACATTTATGATTGTTATCAGAAGGGGTTTTTGTGAATATTTTAGTAATTTCAATAGTTGAGATCATGAGCTAATTGAGGCTAGACCACCATGAAAGCACTGGACGACTGTTTCATCCTATTGTTGGACTCAGCACTGCGCATTCACGAGATGTATATCCTGGGGTTCTAGTGAGAAGCAGTGACCAGTAGAGTTCAAACGGGTTTGTTGTGAGATAGAAACTCACTGGTAACAATGGTGGATATGTCGCTCAATTTATGGTTGTATTTAAAGAGGTATGAAATGTCAAGTTGTATATAATTATTCTGAGTTAATTCATCATAATAATGATGATAGAAAAAAGACATAATTGGTCTTTTAATAATATAGTAAAAATATGAATTGAAAATGTTTCCTCAATAAGTAGAATTTTTAAACCCAAAATTAACAGTCAGTAATTAAAATAGATTGAAAAAAATAATCAAAAAAAAAAACAGTTGACAACTAAGTTAGTTGTCATAACTTATGGTTTTGTGCTCTATTAACCTATAACATAATGATACCGCCAATTATAGAACAGTAGCTTATCGACCGGACCAATGACGCATAAAACCTCTACGAGCAGTCTATAGTCTTTATCGGTCGTTCTTCCTGCCTAACCCTGCCTGTTGAGTCCAGAACACCAATCTCAGTTTCCGCGATATGGATCGTGTATTCCAAACATACTGGATTTACATACAAACCAAATGGACCATATCGTACCATAAAATATTATATAACATTTGTACAAGATCTTGGCAAAAGTGGCTGTGAATGTGGGAGATTGCAATTAATAGACTGGGCATAACTCAAGAACGGTAAATCATATAATAATAGTTTGTAGGTCAAAATAAAGTTTATAATAAGAGGGACATGAATATGCATATTTTACTAACTTACCTATTATATAATAAAAATATATGCATCATATTGGTCCACAAATAGTTCTCAAGAGTTACCATTCGTAATTCTCATCGGGATATAACATTAGTCAAAATCAAAAATGACTCTTAATTACGTTAAATGTTTTCTGTCAATCTATCTAATCGATTAACGTAAATTTGAATTTGTGTTTTACGTTTGACAAAAATGCTTTACAGGACATCCATTTACTAATAAGAAATCCGCGATAGTTACGTCAATCGAATTCATTTCTTTTACAACAATACTTTAAACCATTCTCTTATGCACAGCAAAATGATTTTATGCACCTTTTAATTATTCTTTGCTTCTGTTTAGCACAGAGAGGTGGTAAAATTGTAAATCAAACAAATGATAGAACACCTGCATCTGCAGTAACAAGAGTAAGTGATTATTTTGTTACGATTAAAAGAAATATTTATCATTTTGATATTAACTAGTTGAAAGCAATCAACAAGAAGCCTTACATCTATCTGGTCAAAGTCAACCTAATAACCACAATAAGTTGTTGGAGATTTTATTTTTAGATCCATTCACTCCCTATATTCTGTTAGATCTTTACCCTGAACATTTTGTTTAACATTTTATTTCTTGAATCCACTCCTTTCTATTGACGGTATCCTCTAACAGAAGTCTTTATTACAATCTTTGATGATACTGTTATTTTAAATCTTTTGTCATTCATTTTCGTTAATTTAATCTTGTCGTGCTCATGTGGTAAGGGCAGCTTGAAGTGACCCATAATTGTCACAGATTCAATGTTAATTTTGACTGACTGTTGGATAGTCGTTGATGCGTTATGATTATGCATGTCCTGAAATTTTTTAAAACATTGAATAGAATGATGATCAATAAGTGACTTGTAACGATACAATCTGGTCGACTGATAAATGCTCACGAAACCTAATTATTCTGGTAGGCCTCCAAATAAATAGATATCAAAAATTAACAGATCCTTTTCCCTAGAAAAGTGAGATACGTCAATATAAAGTGTTACGTTTACTAAAAGGCATGGTAAAATGTCACTTATCCAATAGACGATTGTATGATGGGACTTTTCCGTCATGTATTAAAACCTAACTCTCAAGGTTAATTCTTCAGTCATATCGATGTATTTTGTGGATCTAAGTATTACCATGTACCGATACTTTTAACACTCATTTAAACAAAACGAAGTATTTAAAACGTATGTTAAATACTTCCAGTAATTTCAAAATATTTATTATTGATGGATACCTGCTTGTTTCAATGCTCTTCAATTAAAATATCCATCTATCGTCTTAAATCTCATATTTTTTTCTACAGAATCTTACACAAACCAAACCATTGGATGAAGTTCTAATAGAAAGTGATGATAAATTCCCACTAACTGATCAACAAATCTTACCAGACGATATTCAAGAATCAAATGAATTAACTGAATTCATCAAAACTATTTCACCGAATTCAAGATTATGGAAGAATAAAGCTTGTTCAATTGTACATGCGACACTGTCTCAACTTTTAGATGATTTATTTATTTGTTGGGATGAGATTTAATTAGACAATTAAGTGATATCTACTTAATTCCTTTGTGAATTTTAGTTTTCAATCCCTCTTACTTATATTTAAAAAATTTTGTTCTGATCTACTGTTTGTAAAATTATTAAAGTACAATTTGTATTCTTAAATAAGTCTCTAATGTTCAAAATGTTTTGAAATAATTTAACACTGTCATCTAAGATTAAAGTAACAGATACAAACCGTAAATTCCTTCAACAGTCAATAGAAAAACTTCTATATAAGTGTGAATTGAATAGGTTAACAAAGTGAAATATCATCCACACTCTCCTTGATCTTACGAACAGTCAACATTACCAAGGTAAGCTTAATATCAGTACAGACTATTTCTGCTTAAACAAAGGAACCTGGAATTTTCTTACGACGAACGATTCAATAAATCTAACTATTCTTGCTAGACCAGTTCTGCACAACGCTACAAAGATTGTCACGTGACAAGATCACCGATTTATACGACCTTGACATCGTACCAGACCAAAGACATGTTAACCAACGCGATCAGCCTAGAGTCAACTCTGATTCCTTATTGGTTCTTCTCGCTTAGCCTTACCCATTTTAGTCCATAACACAATCTCAGCTTACATTGTATGAATCGTGTATTTCAGATATACGCAGTTTACATACAAACAAAGCGGACCTCATCATACGATAAAATAAGAAATAACAAGTATATGAGATCAAGACATAAGCGACTGTGAGTGTGAGAGACTGTAACTAATAAATTGGGAATAACCTATGAACAGTAGATCGTATAATGTTTGCCGATAGGTCAAGTAAAAGCTTATAATAGAGAAATATAAATATATATAATCTATTCACTCAGTATATATATATATATATATATATATATATATATATATATCACCAGTCCATAAATGATTCCTTGCAGTCACCATTCATTTATTCTTCGTTAGGATACAACAGGGATCCATTTGTAACAGGCTTTTATTATAATATGTGGAAACATTGGAAAACCAATATACATCATCTAATATTATTGGATCACTGGGATTTATATAAGTAATCAGTAAACGTTAAAAATATGATGCTAAATGATCAAATAGCAGAATTTAGAATATACAAGCAAATTATTTAGTGTACATATTATTGACTGAAAGCTGTTAAAATAAGTGGTGCTATTGAATGCAGTGTAGGGAATAGAAATCTATAAATCTAACGCAAACGTTCTCTATTATCCACGGTTTGACTGATGTAATAACTTGAAATAGTCCAAGCTTTCTTTCAACTCCAAATTATTCGAGCAAGTTACTTGATTTACAGCTGAACGTAAAGTAAAACATATATATAACTGGATGAGTTTCCTGTATCATCATCACTAAAGATCTACGTTCTCTTTTGTTACTGTTTATTATTCTGTTTAATATACAGATATCTTTTTATGATAATTCTTGTTGGTTTGTTTTAGTTTGCAAACTATATTATAAAGTTTATTTTCTGTCAATAATCAAAATATTAATTTTATTTCGATGACTCCATATAATATTTACTGGAAAAGGAATTTAGGTATAACAAAATCTATTGCAACGTAGTTCATATGATGTCACTTCTTTTATTTCACTTGTATACTAATCATATAGATCTCTACTGAATTGAGCGAAACCTGATTTTCATTCATTTCAACGCTAAAACATAGGTTGATTGATATTTATTATTATGTGTCACCGTTTACTATTGTAATAGAGTATATGACATTGAAGCCTTTTAGATACATACTGTAGTCATCCAGTATAAAGCTTTGGATCTAGGTTTAGTGGTACTTGGAATTATTAACTACTCTGTATCTTGACTCTTAATGAAAATGATGCCTCTCATATGATTCACACATGTACCATACGTTGTCATAGTCATTGACGTTGTCCCAAAACTATTCATCCTTTAACTAATATTAGAAGAAACCACGATATTTGCACTAAGTCAACATACTGTACGCAATCATGAGTCCCTCAAACTGGTAGCGATTCGGTCAGTGAAATTCAACCAGTTCTAAAGATTAGACAACCATCAGACTGATTATTACTCAATGATCAGTCACTGTCCCCGACAAGTAAGCGTCAATTTCATCAGTAAAGGTCTCTAGTCAATCTCATAACTAAAACCATCTCCAGATTTTGTATGTACCACCAACGTGGCATAATATCTGAATTCAAGCAGTGTTTTATAAGAAGTCTTCTAACCTCTAGTCTAGATCATAATTTTCAACTTCTAACTATTGGGAAAATAAAGATTTACTGAAGACGGTTCATCTGATGACCTGAAATGAAAATCTTTCGACATTGCGAAAGCATATAACTAGGATGTGCACATATGTTTGTTTAGTTTTATAGCTACATATCTGAACAGACTCATTTCTAGCAAATATTAGGTCATACCAGCATTACATTTCTTGCTCTGTAAAATATCCGTTTATCCGAGACAAGAAGTGAGATATATTATGATAACATTAACTCATCTATTAGACCCGTATTTTTTTAATCATATATAGTTGTATCAGTTGGGTTAATTCTGATAATAATTATTTGCAAATACATGACCTATCGGAAGTTTCAGTAGTGATCAGATTCAATTCATAAAATAATGATATATATCGATTTGGTTATGTTGATCTATTACTATGATCCCAGTACCATTGACAAGAATCTTCCCATGCTACTTCAAAATTGATCAGGTTGTAACAGGGATGGTCACAAATTAAAATCTTTGAGTGTAACTCTGTACTGTCGTAATTCAGTTTGGAGAATAAAACTGGATTTCCGAACTGATTAAACCTAGAGTATTTATTTTTTCAAAATCTATCGCCTCCAGATTATTTCATTTTCTGGCTATAAACTTTACTTATGCTTATATTCCGCATGCCCCCAAACTAAATGACAAGTTGTGTTCCCTAGAAATTAAATTTATTACTTAGCTAATATAACCTACTTAATCCTGGTTGTATAATTTGTAATGAATAATTCATTTTATATTGGAAAGAATGGGTGGATACACATTGGTTACAGTTCTGAATAAATTCATTTTTGTTAATATTTTACTGATGTCTTAGATTTAATTTCATATCACCGCCTAAATTTTCCACGAAACCCATATTGGCAAAAGTCATAAAGCCTAAATAAACACCAAACCTGAGATCAACTAATCCTTTCCAACTGACTAGATTAACTTACTAAATAATCCCAATTTCGTGGATTAGTTGAAGTTAGACATTAACACCGTTGGATGCCGGCTCAGTGATCTAGTGGTTAAGTGCTCGCGCGCGAAACCAGTAGGTCCTGGGTTCGAGTCTCGCAGGGGACGAGGTGTGGATGCGCACTGCTGAGGAGTCCCATGATAGGACGAAACGGCCGTCCAGTGCTTCCAGGTTTTCCGTGGTGGTCTAGCTTCAACTGACTCATGATCTTAATAATTGAAATTACTACAATCTCCACAAAACCCCTTCTGATAATAATCTCGGAACGTTTAAAAACAGCTAGATCAGTTTTGCTACTTATGAGTAGCTTAACGAATAATACTACATTATCACGAAATTCAATTGTTCAAGAGATGGTACAATATTATTTTTTTAAAATTAGGTAAAACAGTTCAAAGAGAAACATTAAAATACTTGTGAGGGGGTAAAATAAAATGATATAATGGCCAGATCCAGAGTGTAAATAAAAGTTTTAGAACGTTTGATCGTTTTCAAAAATGCATTTTCAACCTTCACCATAACATAACTATGGAAAGAATTTCGTTAAGATGCAGTAAATTTTAATGATAACACTAGGTAAATTTACAATAAAATTTGTAGCCTTGAACACCAAAGAACTTTCCCGATGAATTTAATGTAGCATGAAAATGGAAACTGGAAAAGTACATTTGGAACGAATATTTGAAAAATGTGAACTTTGAAACATACTTCAAAGTGTGGCGCTTGATTCGTGAAATACAGAAAAGATAACCTAAAAGATTGCTCAGCTAATCTCCTCCAATTTAAAAGTAGGACAAGAATGATTGCTCGTAGATGGGAGAGTGTTTTTGGAAGCATTTATTCGAATACTCTCCTTAACATGAACACGAGCATGTCTATGCATGCTGTGCTTCAAAGAAAATTCTTTTCCACAGTGTGGACAAACAAAAGGCCGCTCACCAGTATGGGATCTCATATGCCTTTGCAAATCTTGCTGACTACCAAAGCGATGAAGACAAACACAACATGACACATAGCGCATATCGTAAGTGGTTGTTTTTAGGGAGTAATTAATTGGATCTTTTGATTCTAGTAAGTTCTTGTTAGCTTCATTGTCTTTCTCTAATTCAGCTTTTGTCTGATTATTTTTACTCAAAGTTAGTTGAATTTGCGTTAAAACATCAGCTGACCTTTCACTTGAGCTTAATTTCTTAACAAATTTAGCCCACTCGTTTGAGTGCTCCATAGCCCAATGAGTTAAAGTTGAAACTTGATCTTGGAATGTAAGCTGACACAAATGACATCTAAAAACTGGATTGTCTAGTTGATGTAGTGTAAGATGACGGCGAAAACACCTACTTGCAACTGATACTGAACATACTGGACAGGAAAGTGTTGAAGATGTATTTTTTGACGCTGAGTGCATTGATAAATCCACTGGTGGTTCTGCGACACTATCGTGCATCGAATTATTAGCATTACTTGTTTGGGGAATTGTATTGAAAGTTATTTGATCGCCTTTATCCAGAACATTGCTCCTCATATTCAGTATGTTACCGCGCCTAGGACGCCTGCCAACCCTTCCCGTCCTCCCTAATCGAACTGGAACAGTGGGCAACATACTTTGAGGAATATCTTTTATACAATTCGAAGAAGTGTCATTTAAATAGTTTGTTAAACCACTTCTTGTAGAATTCGCCACTGCAAGTAGTGCAGCGTTATATAACCTCTCAGGATTGGGTTCCACTACTGGATCTCCAGCCCGTATCAATAGACTATTACTGATATCTTCCGCCTGCTTTTCATTTGAATTCATGGATATTATTTCATCTTCTCTCAGTTCTTCAATATTGTCAAGTTCCTGATCATTATCTCCAATATTAGTTCGACTAATAGAATTTAGATTAGAATTATGACCACTTAACTCAG